CGCGGAGCCCCTCCCGCTCCAGAAGGCGCCGGTGCCCCTGCGTCCCGCCCCCTGTGCCGCCCCCGCCGCCCCCGCCGCCCCCGCCCGGATTCAGCGCCTGCCCCGAGGGTTCCCGGGTCCCCATCCCGGTCCGGAGCGGTGCCTGCGGGTCCAGGGGCCGGGTGGGAGGAGAAGCCGCCGCGAGGTGCGGGAACGGGTGTGGGAATTCACGCGCTCTACAGAATCTGACCTTCTTCAATCCGCAGCGCGTTTGCAGCCCACATCCCCAGGACAGGACACGCTGTTCCCATTCGACGCGCGGTGCCGTGCGCCTCCGTCTCCTGGTCCGTGGCAGTTCCTCGCGTCCTGGACACTGGGGAGGACTGGCCAGGTGTTTTGTTGACTTCCTCGACTTAGGTTTGCCTGGTGTCTTCCTGCGGCCAGGCTGGGGCGCTGGGTTTTGGGGAGGGAGGCGCAGAGGTCGGGGGCCGGTCTCGCCCCTCTGGTCCTGTGGTTCAGCCCGGGTGAGGTCCACTCCGTGCTTAGGTGGGGGCGTCTGCGGGCCTCACCGTTCAGCTGCCGCCTCTCCGTCCCTGCTGTGGTCACTGGAATCCAGTCCCCAAGTCAATCCCCAGCTTATGGGGAGAATATCTGGCCCCGCCTCCTGCAGGCTTGTCTGTATTTTCTGGAATTCCTCCGTGAGGAGGCTGGACTTTCCCGGCCTGTTGGTTTATCTGTTCAGTAGTTTATTTCTACAGTGTGTGCTGGTGTATGTTTATTTGATCCTTTAGGTCATAACCCGATGCTGTTGTTACTTAATTATTTTAAAAGTTCTGTTTATTTTTATTATTTCTGGAGTGCAGTGGCACGATCACAGCTCACTGTAGCCTTGAACTCTTGGGCTCAAGTGATCCCCCAGCCTCAGCTTACTCAGTAGCTGGGGCTACAGGCGTGCGCCACCACACCCAGCTAGTTTTTTACTTTTTGTGAAGACAGGGTCTTGCTTTGTTGTCCAGGTTCCCCTTGAACTCCTGGGCTCAAATGATCCTCCTGCCTGGGCCTCCCAGCGTGCTGAGATTACAGGCGTGAGCTCCTGCGCCTATTTTTTTGCTCAGATTGTTCCAGCTTTGGCCATTGAGACTCTTCTCTCCGCTTCCTCTCTTCCTGTGTCCTGTTGAAACCCCACTCCCAGCTCCCTGACACAACAGGATGCTCCTGCCTCATCTGGTGCTTTGTCAACCCTGGCCCTCGAATCAGCTTTTCAGACATTTCTCCAGAAATCTGTGGTTCCTGGCCAGGCACTCATACAGGGGGCTCATGCCATTATTCCCAGCACTTTGGGAGGCTGAGGCAGGCAGACCTTATGAGCTCAGGAGTTTGACACTGACCTGGGCAATAAAGTGAGACCCCCATGTCTGCACAAAAATTAAAAATAGCCAAGTGTAGTGGCATATGCCTGCAGTTCCAGCTACGTGGGAAGCTGAGGCAGGAGGATATCCTTTTTCTCAGGAGGTTAAGCCTGCTGTGAACCGTGATTGCCCAATTGCACTCCAAGCCTGGGTGACAGAGCAAGACTCTGTCTTAAAAAAAAAAAAAAAAAAGGGTTGGGTGTAGAGCTGACGCCTGTAATCCCAACACTTTGGGAGGCCGAGGCGGGAAGATCACGAAGTCAAGAGATCGAGACCATCCTGGCCAACATATCGAAACCCCGTCTCTACTAAAAATACAAAAATTAGCTGGGCATTGTGGTGTGCGCCTATAGTCCCAGCTACTCCGGAGGCTGAGGCAGGAGAATCACTTGAACCTGGGAGGCAGAGGTTACAGTGAGCCCAGATCATGCCACTGCACTCCAGCCTGGGCAACAGAACAAGACCTCGTCTCAAAAAAAAGGAAAAAGGCCGGCATGGTGGCTCATGCCTGTAATCCCAGCACTTTGGGAGGCCGAGGCAGGAGGATCACCCGAGGTCAGGAGTTCAAGACCAGCCTGACCAACATGACAAAACCCTGCCCCTTCTAAAAATACAAAAGTTAGTGAGGTGTGGGGCAGGCGCCTGTGATCCCAGCTACTTGGGAGGCAGAAGCAGGAGAATTGCTTGAACCTGGGAGGTGGATCTCAAAAAAAAAAAAAAGATTTTTAATAACTGAGGGTTGAGGGTGCTGGCGACATCTGATGGGTGGAGATCAGAGATGGTGGTGCTTGGGACCCCAGTGCAGACTGGCCAGCTCGCAGTGGCAGCTGCTGTGCCCAGCTGGGAAGCCTGTCAGGAGCCCTTTGGAGACACAGCGGGCAGTGTGTGGTGGGGGCTGGCCTTGGGTGCACATGTGTGACCATCGTTAGAATACACACGAGTTCATCGGGGCCTCTGACGCTCGTCCCCCACTTGCTTTTCTGGAACTGCTTTCTTGGGCACTGAGGGGGCCTGGCTCCTGCACATACCACGGATTCGTTGTTCAGCCCTGATGGGCGAGAAGGTGGCTTCAGAATTGCTGACGGCGTGCCTCTGAGAAGCAGGTTTGCTGCCAGAGCGCGGTGTCTGTGTGTGGGCCTTGGGCCTTGCCTTGGTTTCCACGGTTACTGAGCTTGGCCCACTACCGTTAGTGAGGTGCTGTCACCCAGCTGCTGTCGGGGCCGCAGGTCAGTGCAGACCATCTGCCCTGGGGTTCCCCACATCCTGCTTACCAGACGGTTCTAGGTTTCTGTTTGTGCTTTTTCAGGTTGTTACAAATTTTTTTTTTTTTTTTTTTTTTTTTTTGAGGAGGAGTTTCGCTCTTGTTACCCAGGCTGGAGTGCAATGGCGCGATCTCGGCTCACCGCAACCTCCGCCTCCTGGGTTCAGGCAATTCTCCTGCCTCAGCCTCCTAAGTAGCTGGGATTACAGGCATGCACCACCATGCCCAGCTAATTTTTTGTATTTTTAGTAGAGACGGGGTTTCACCATGTTGACCAGGATGGTCTCGATCTCTTGGCCTCGTGATCCACCCACCTCGGCCTCCCAAAGTGCTGGGATTACAGGCTTGAGCCACCGCGCCCGGCCCAGGTTGTTACAAATTTATTGAATGTACTGTGCCGAAACTTGGAGTTAAATATCCCTTTTTTCGAAAATAATTCCAGAATTTGGGGCTGCGGCCCAGTTGAAGGCTGACCTGGGTCACCCTGTCCCTGGTCATTGCTGACCGGCTGGTCCAGGGGCAGACGACTGGCCCAAGCTGGACCCATCTGAGTCCTTCTCTAAGATTTGCCAAACCGAACCCAAGGAGGGGCGTCCAGGCTACATGAGCTTTTGACAAAGGCAGAGAGTTATGCAGCTGCCACCCCGAACCATACAGAACAACCCACAAAAACAGAAGACATGTGGCCTCTGTGACGTGTGATGCGTGAAGGGCAGATGGAGATGTGGGGAGACGCTCACATACTTGGTCACGAGAGACCGAGGACCTGGGGCAGGGAACCCTTGTCAGCGCTGGCAGGAGCACAGTGGTGCAGGCCCTGTGGGGAATGGGCCTGCCGTGTGACCCCCACACCCTCCCGACGGGCCCGCCGTGACACCCCACACGCCCCCGACGGGCCCGCCGTGACACCCCACACCCTCCCGACGGGCCCGCCGTGTGACCCCCACACGCTCCCGACGGGCCTGCTGTGACACCCCTACAGGCTCCTGACGGGCGTGCTGAGGAGAGACACACGGTGGGAATTCCCGCCGGCCTCACGGTGCCCTGTGAATGTAGACGACGCTGGAGCGACAGGACCTCTGTGGTCAGTGGGTGGGCGGGCACTGTCGCGCCGTACAGCTCAGGAGAGGACCACACGGGCAGGAGCCAGAGCAGTGGGGCTCATGGGGTCGCTGGCTGTCAGTTCTCCAAGGGAAAAGTCCTGTGCTCAGTGGGGCTACGTTTATCAGAGCCACTGCCATGAGGGGTCTGGCCGGCGAACCCGGGGGGGTGCGTGGACGCACAGGGACCCAGGGTCACCTGCCTGGGGCAGCTCCCGCCCTTCATGGCAGGACTCCACCGTCTTCTCATCTTCAGGCTTCTCCTGGGCTTTCCTCCGGGCAGGTAACCTCGCCGGTCCAGGAACCCATCAGCTCTTTCACAGAAGCATCCACAGCGCTCACCCAAAGCCACCGGAAGCCCTGGCCTTGAACCCCTCCCTGTATGGTGTCCACCAGTCTTAAACCGTGACAGTGGTGACAGTGTCCTTTCCAGGGTAGACATCCCACCTGCAGGAGCTTTCTTTCCTGGCCTCTCTCTCAGCTGTGGTCAGAGCTACAGCGGGCTTGCCCTGCGATGACGGGGGGCTTGCCCTGTGATGACTGGGCCTGGCCCCGACGGGGGGCTTGCCCTGTGATGACTGGGCCTGGCCCCGACGGGGGGCTTGCCCTGTGATGATGGGGGCCCGGCCCCGACGGGGGGCTTGCCCTGTGATGACGGGGGCCCGGCCCCGACAGGGGCTCTGTCTTGCCCACAGGCTGTTGGTGATGTTTGAGCTGCCCGCTGGCAACAGGCTGGGATGGGCAGAGTTTAGGGCACATTGACCCAAGAATAGCCGTGGGTCTGTGCAGATAGCCTGAAAGAACTGACAGACGCCTGTCCTGATTTTGGATGAAGACACTGCTCATGCAGTGTGAGGGACGTCTTTTTTGTCACCGGAAGGGCAGTGGATGTGCTCACGTGCACGTGAGTGTTTCAGGGCGTCCGGCTATTTGCAGGCTATTTGCAGTCTTCACCGAAGCAAGTGTTTCCTGCACCAGCGGCACACGCTTGCTTGTTCCCATGGCTGGGGCATTGTGGGGCATCTTTTCTCCTGGCAGGACCTGAGTTTCGACACACGGGGCAGAGCCAGGCCTTTCTCAAGGCATCAGAGGGCGTCGCTGTGGACCGGCAGGTCGGTTTTCAGTCCTGGGTTGAGTTTGTAGCACGCCTGGAGTCCTGGGGTGCTGGCAAGGGGTCTTCGCGTGGCCATGAAGGAAACCAGTTCAGAGGTCACTTTGGGGACCCACAGAGTGACCACACCACAGAGGCTTGGTAGAAAGGACTTTATTTAGAAATCGGTGCTACAGCACCAGGAGCCATGCAGACAGTGGAGCAGGAGCCTGAGCCGGCTGCCCCCGGGAAGTCAGTCCTGACCTGGGCCCCCCGGGAGTCAGTCCTGACCTGGGCCCCCCGTAATTCAGTCCTGACCTGGCCCTCCCTGCCGCCCCCATGAAGTAAGTCCTGACTGAGGGAGCGTTGATCTGCACCCGACACTCTTTGTTAAAGACCGAATCTGATAATGCGGGCGTGGGTCAGCAGAACATAACCCTCACAGAAAACCCCAAGAAAAAGTGGACGTGAACTGCGTTTGCATTTGTGTGGCCAGGACACCAGCTTCCTCTTGTGTTATGTTGAAGCAGGGCCTGGACGTCGCCAGGGAATTTATGTGGGAAGCACATCTTGACATGAAAAATGCAGCGTTTTGTCGCAAGTAACGTTTTTCCTAGAAATGCCGCTAGCTGGTTGCTCTAAGGAATGACTTTATAAAACTCAAAAGCACTACCCTGGGTCTTGCGGTGACTGGCACCGTGAGAGCCACAGAGCTGGGGTGGTGCTCGGGGCTCCGGCCACCCGGCCACAGAGGCCAGCGTGGATCTGACTGCGTGGGTCTCCCATGCCCCGGCTGGGGGCTCCACACCAGCTGCCCAGGGTCCAAAAACCTGTCTCCTCTGGTGAAGTGCGAGTGTACGGTGAGCTTCGGAGGCCACAGGTGGGCTTTGGGGCGGGCGGGGTGGCGGGCAGGCTGTGGAGGCTGCAGGCCTTGCACATGCATGGCTGTGGAGGCCGAGGGTAGCAGTGGCCTCTGGGGTAGGAGATGGGTGGGGGCACTCTCTGGGTCACCGCCGCAGAGCCTCCACCTTGGAGCTGCTGTGAGGGTCCTTTCTAGGAAGCAGGGCTTTGCCCAGGGTGGGGGGCTGCCTTACACGGGCTGTTCTAAGCTGGGGGGCCTTGAGCCATGGGTGAGGGGCCCAGCCCAAGGTGGGTGCTCCAGCAGGTGGCCTCAGGCACCTGGGGGTCTGGGCTGGGGAGGGGCACCAGCCAGGGGAGGGGAGGAGGGGCTTCTGGGTGTGGGTGGGGGATGAATGCAGGCAGGGTCTCAGACAGGAGGCCTCAGAGCCCGGGAGCTTCAGTCGGCATGGAGGTCTCAGAGTCCTCCCCCCGCCGACCCCGGGAGCCGTGGTCAACAGAGACCTGAAAGGCCCACCGCTGCAGTCGGCCTGTAGCTCAGAGGTCAGCCTCGGTCCTCGGTTGCTCAGCCGACCCAGGCTGGCCCAGAAACCTGCTCAGGGAGCGGCTGCTCTGGAGTTGGTAGGGTCGAGGTGGGGGCTATTGCTGTTTGGTGGGGGAATTGCCGGGAACTGGGTAAGAGCCACTTACTTATCTGTGTGTGAGAGGCGCAGGCAGGCACAAAACTCCTGGGAAGTTCAGTTTCTCCTTTTCATTTTTAAATTTAACTTTTTAATTCTAGCAGAAACACGCAAACCTCCAAGACTCTTGTGCCGTCCCGGCTCTGTGTGCTGGGAGACCAGCAGTGCCTGTTCCCATGGGGTCCCCTGAACCTGCAACTCCCGGTCCAGCTCCCCAGGGCCCCGGCGGTGGAGGGGCCCCACTAACTGTGGCACCTGAGACTCGGCTCCTGCCTCCCGGCCCCCTGCCCCCCTCGGAGTTGGGTCAGGTCTGGAACTCCACACCAGGCCCACACTTGAGCTTGGCTACTGGAATGTGGCCTTCATCCTCCGTAGCTTGTCCTGAATCTTCCGTGAGTGCTTCTCGCTGGGGACGTGGTGGAAGTTGGCCCTGCTGTCCGCGGCCAGCGTGGAAATGTTGGCGCCGCTGAAGCGGGTGATCCTCTGCCGGAGGTGTGACTGGAGCTTGGGGTCGGGGCTGAACGTGTAGGGGTTCTCCTGGAATGCGTGCACTTGGCTCACCACCTTGGCGATGTTCCTTCCGTTGGAGGAAGAAGAGACGTCAGTTGGCATGGGGCTGCCCCAGGCAGGGATTCCCAAGTTCTCAGGAATCATTTGCGCTAAACCTTTTCACCGCGTAAATACTGAAGGGTGGGTTTTCTGTTTATTGACGGGGCCAAACCTCACGCCACTGCTCAGACCTTCCCGTCTGTCTACCTGTCCATCCGTCTACCTCTCGTTCACAGACGTTTATGGAAACCCCACAGGGTCAGGCTTGTCCATGCTGAGCCTCCCAAGAGGAGTAAAGGCCGGTCGGCCGTAGGGGCTGCAGCTGAGGGGACGAGACAGGCCGGGCGCTGCTGCCACGTGGAGCGTTCACACCTGGGAATCGCCACGGCTGTGGCCCACGGCCGGTTTCCCGGGAGAGCTGGTTGTGGACAGTGACCAGCTGTAAACCTCCAGTGCCATTTTCTTTCTTTGGAGACAGAGTCTCACTGTTGCCCAGGCTGGAGTGCAGTGGCACAATCTGGGCTCACTGCAACCTTCGCCTTCCAGGTTCAAACGATTCCTCTGCCTCAGCCTCTTGAGTAGCTGGGATTACAGGTACCAGCTACCACGTCCGGCAAATTTTTTTGTTTTTTTTAGAAAAGACAGGGTTTCGCCATGTTGGCCAGGCTGGTCTTGAACTCCTGGCTTCACGTGATTCACCTGCCTCAGCCTCCCAAAGTGCTAGGGTTACAGGCCTGAGCCACTGCGCCCAGCCTACCTTAGGTTTTTAGTTCTCTTTTGCTGACGTGGGTGTTCCGATTTCTTACAATGAGCGTACATTTATAGCGTATTGTAAATACTGCTTTTAACTTGGTGCCTATCTAAGAAGGAGACCTTGCGTGTATCAGGTTGGGGATCCGTGGACACCTGGTCCACTGGGCACTGCTCCCCAAGTGAGGCCGTCTTCCCTGCAGGAGGGTGGAGGTGCCGTGGCCTGGGCAGCCTCCTGACCGTGTGTGGACAATGGAGAGACAAGAAGAGACGGGAGGGTGGAGATTGTGTCTCGAGGGAGGGAGTGAGGCCGAGCCGGGACCGAGGGTGCCTGAGCCCGCTGGTCACAGGCCTGAGCCTCTGAGGAGAGGCTGGGCTGTGGCTTCCCAGGTGGAAGAGTCTGTGTGGCCAAGGGTGTGTGAGCTGTGGGTCCTGGTGGTAGGTTCTATAGCCAGCCCGTCTGCGCCTCCCAGGCGGCATGCAAGGTCACTGGGTGCTGGGCGGGACAGCAGGACACGGGAACAGGCTGAGGACTCATCATGGGTCCCATGTGGGTGTCTCTAGGGAAAGGGCTCTGAGGACAGTAGGGACACGGTGGCACCCAGAGGTCAGGGCGGATTGGTGCCAGGCGGCCACAGTGCTGCAGAGACCCTCGGGTGGGGTGGAGAGTGTGGCTGAGTGGCAACAAGGGTCTCTAGAGACCACGGAGAGTGTGTGGGGACCATGGACACCAGGAGAGCAGGAAACGTTCTGAATTTGCAGAGGAGGCGGTGGCTTGAGGTCACCCTGGGGAGAGGGAGCTCTGAGGCCGCAAGGGCCAAGTGAGGGGCAAGCTACTCAGGCCTCTGAAAAGCAGGGACGGGAGGAGAGGTGCCACCTGAGCCTGCCCAGCCTGGGGGTGCGGCCACGTGAGCCCCTCCCCACCTGGGGGTGCGGCCACCTGAGCCCCTCCTCACCTGAGCTTGCTCCACCTGTGGGCCCCATTGGTCATGGTGAAGCCACCGGTCTCCAGCTGCTGGATGTGCATGGCCAGGAGGCGGGCTGAGGGCAGGGTGGGCTGTGCCCGGAAGCGCCGTCCTTCCATCAGACACAGGCTGTCGCTCTTCAGGAAGACCTGGTGGTCCGGCCAGGGCATGGGCCGGGGAGAGACAGGGCAAGGTCAGTACAGGAGCCAGCCGGGGCCGGCCTAGCCCACCCTTCCCAGCTGGTCTTGTGTTCTCACGTGTGGAGGTACCCAGCACTCTGAATTAGCTTCCAGTCATGAGGGTGACGGGTAGACTTGGTTCACACCTGCAGGCTCTTACACGAGGCCCGGACAGCCGCTGGAGGCTTTGTGCCTCCTGCTACTGAAAAGGGGAGTTCCCTTCCTTGCTCTCTGCTGGACTTCAGGAAAGAGCCAGGTGACCTGACTTCCCCAAATGAGACCCAGGCTGGTTGGTCAGGGCCCGCGTCTGTGGTCCGGCAGGGATGTGCAGGAGCCCTCCCGCCTCTGGAGAGCTGCAGCTGGGGCTGAGGCCGGGCTCCGACACCCAGGACCGGTGTGGGTTTCGGCTGCTCTGGGTTTGTCTCTCTCGTTTTGGGGAATGCCCAATCGCTTCCAGCAGCGCTTCCCTGTCCATTATCTCATGAGGCCCCCACTGCCGTCCTGGAGGAGGTCCAGGTTGGTCAAGCTCTGCCCCAGCCGCAGACCTCAGTGCTGTGCTCCGGGCACCTGTACTCTGTGCGGGGACCTTAGACCAGCAAGGCCCGTGACCAAGCAGGCGGGACAGCTTTGCACAGGTGGCAGTGGGGTCCCCGCCAGAGATGACTCCTGGCCTCAGTGAGGCCACCACGGCTGGGCCACCTGTGCACACCTCATGGCGTCTGCGTCTGGGTGAGTGCGGCAGGCGCTACCTAGTGGGCCATTTAGGAGAGGGCCCGGCTGGACAAAGGCCACCCAGCCAAGGAAAGTGCTGGTACCTCCACGGCGTTCAGCTCCTCCATGACTGCTGCGATCTTTGCAGGCAGGATTCTCCAGGCCTGAAATGTTAGCACAGGTGAGACTCTGAGGCCGAGCCGGCACCCACCCCGCGCCTCGGGCCCCCAAGGGCACGCACAGGGGACTGCCTGACGGCCGGGTGCTCCAGCCCGCCCAGGATCTGCATGGCTGTCGCGAAGTTTCTCTGCTCGTAGCAAGATTTCGCAATCAGCAAAAACTTGGACAGCAAGTTCACCTGCAGCTGCAATGGGAAAAGGACACGTTCAGCATCTTCTGGTTTAAGATGAACAAAGGGAGCATTTGAGAATCTGTTAAAACCACCCAGCTTCAAGACAGGGAACGTGTGCCGCTCGTGTGTGGAAGGGAAGCGGCCATGTGGCCGAGGCTGTGGAGCGGGCTGGGCTGGCGGGATGGGGTGGGCATCACTCCAAACAAAACAAAATAAAAGCAAAGTCTGATAAGTGGAAAGATTCGAAAATAATTCCAGCCTCACTTCTCAAAGGAAAATTGTGCCAGGAGGCCCTCCCCAGGCATCTTTGGCACTGAGAAAGGTGTCCCCACCCAAGGAGAGGCAGTGTCATGTCCAGAGGCAGACAGGGGGCCACTGGCAGCTCCATGCCCCCCACCGAGCCCATGGCAGGAGCGTTTGGGTGAAGTCCAGGGGTGGGCGCTTGGGTGCCGCCACCTCCTCCATGGATCTGTGGCTGGCAGTGATGACCCTGCTGGCTTTGGTGGGAACACCCCATCATCTTCTCCGTGGCTCTGTGGCTGGCGGAGATGGCGGTGATGACCCTGCTGGCTTTGGTGGGAACACCCTGTGGGTGGCGAACACCCCCCCAGCAGGGTTCTGCTTCTGAGCCGTCCCGAGCAGCTGCGTCTCAGATCCAATTCCAGGGCTTCAGGAAGATTCTGGAGAACTCAGCTGACCCCTCCTGTTGGAGCACCCTGTCCCTGAGGGATCACCGGGCGTGGGCCATCCTTCCACGGAAACCAGGGATGCCGGCCTGGGCTTCACTCTTTTTTTTTTTTTTTTTTGAGATGGAGTCTTGCTGTGTGGCCCAGGCTGGAGTGCACCCTTTCATTCGATTTGTTCAATAAAAGCTGGTGCCAACCTCCGCTTCCCGGGTCCGAACGGTTCTCCTGCCTCAGCCTCCAAAGTAGCTGAGACTACAGGCATGTGCCACCGCGCCCAGCTAATTTTTGTAGTTTTAGTAGAGACAGGGTTTCACCATGTTGCCCAAGATGGTCTCAAACTCCTGACATCAGGCGATCCACCCACCTTGGCCTCCCAAAGTTCTGGGATTACAGGTGTGAGCCACCACGCCCCACCCCTGGCTCGGCTCTTGTCTGCAGGGACCCAACAGTGATCTGGCCGCAGTGCTGGGCTCTGTCATGGTGATGCTGGGCGCCGGCAGCCTGGGGTGTGAGGCTGCACGGCTCCTGCCGACCCCGCAGACCCGGACACGGGGGCATGACCAGGAGGAGAGGCCGTCCTGGAGCTCCTCAGGCAGGCGGGGCGTCTGCAGCTACAGGTGGGCCTCTGTCAGGCTGGGAGGGGCTGTCCCCACCTCCTGCGGCAGCTCGGGGTGAAGGTTTGCCCGGGATGCTGCGGTTAGCTGGGTGAACGCCACCTGTCCTCATTCTCGTCCTCACGAACCCGCCCACAGCCCGCATGTGGAGGCTCTGGTGTAGGGAAATTGCATCTTGCTGTCCCTCACGAAACCGTGGAATCCGTGGATTAGAGCATACGGGGCAACCAGGCTCCCTGTTCCGTGTCCTGCGCAGGTGGGCCGTGCTGATCAAGCCCCAAAGTTGGAAAATTCTCAAGGGAGGAGAGAAGTCAGCACCTTTGCACTGGCTCACGGGCCCCAGGGTGGGCTGCGGGCGGGAGGGGCTCGCGTGAAGGAACAGTGGGAAGGGAAACGCCCCCCGGAGGCTCCTGGTGCGGGGCCCCGGCCCTCAGCGCCTTCAGCCCACTCCGGGACAGCAGCAGGGATGGCAGTGATGGGTTTGTGGCCGGGAGCCTGTTCCTTTGTTCCTTGGGCCCAAGTTTGCTTTCAAGGATCTTTGGCCTAGGAGGGGGTGAGTGTCCACCCAGGGCCAAGGCTGCCACCTCCCTGCTGCGGGGGAAGGGGCCACGTTGCACAGAAGGAGCCCTGCAGTCCTGAGTCTCCTGTGGAGCGGGACCTGGCCACCCCAATGAGGTGAGGCCTGGCTGAGCTCAGGTGAGATCAGAGGCCTCTGTTATACGGCATCCGTCCATCCGCTGGGCGAAGGCGCCTGCTGGAGGAAGCAGTACACCCCCAGGGCTGGGGGACTCTGGCCTCCTGAGCAGCTGTGGACCCCAGTGCCTTCCGGGCAGGGGAGCACAGTGCCTTGCCTGACAGCAGGCGGGGCGGGGCGGGTCAGGAGGTCCCCGTCCAGCCCAAGGCCCACAGGACCTGGAAGAGGCTGAGACTGGGCCCTGGTGCTGGAACTTGACCTTGACCTTGGTCAGACCACAGAGCCGTCATTCCACAAACTGAGTGAGAGGCCACAATGGGCCTTTGGCCGGGGCAGGGGAGCCTAGGGTGGGACGTTGGGCATCACAAACCCCAGCCCAGGTGCCAGGCTCAGGCACAGAGGGGATGGGGCCCTGGGGTGGGGTGCTGTGGCAGGGGCCAGTGTGTGTGGGGTGCTCTGTGTGTGTGTGTGTGTGTTGTGAGCACAGGTAGGGGTGCTGGCAGTGGTGGGTGCAGCTTGTCCTGAGTCTCCAGGCGGCCCGGAGCTGAGGAGGACCCACCACTGAGAGGAGCGGTGTCCAGCTGCAGATGTGGATGTGGCTGTGGCTGTGGCTGTGGGTGTAGCTGTGGACGTGGCTGCAGACATGGCTGTGGACATGACTGGACATGTGGAGACGTGGCTGTGGATGTGGCTGGTCACGTGGAGATGTGGCTGGAATGTGGCTGTGGATGTGGCTCTGGACATGGCAGGCAGTGCTAGGGGAGATGCCCCTCCCCTCAAGCCTTGGGTCAGGTGTGGCTCCGAGGGACACAGAGTTGGGCTCACTGCGTTGGGGGAAGGTTCAGGCCATGGCCTTGCAGGAGGTGCCACCGCTCTGGGACAGGCAGACCCCACGCCCTGTGCTGGCCTCAGAACTATGGGGTGCCCACCTTGGAGGTGTGGCTGGTCACAATCTCGGCGGCTACCCAGGTGCTGACGTCATCTGCGTTTCTTAAAAGCTGTAACAGATACTTGTCTTGAACGTAATTGGGCAGAAATAAGCTGCACGTTTTGGCCGAAAGAGACTCAGAAGAGCTGGCTCTGGAAGAGAAACACGGGACCTGTCACCCCGGAGCATGTGCAGGTGTCCCGGAGACTCAGAAGAGCTGGCTCTGGAGGAGAAACACAGGACCTGTCACCCAGAGCATGTGCAGGCGTCCCGGCCCCGGGGCTGCTGGTGCAGGGTGGGGTGGGGTCTGGCCGTGCGGCTGTTCTGACTGGCAGACACCACTCTCTCGGCTCTCTGGAGACATAGGCATCTCCTGCTGGTCAGGAGCATCCACGAGACCCTCACGGGAAGCCCCCGAGACCCTCCATCACCACTCCCAGCCAGGGGCCTGGGACACTCACTTGGGGATGGCGGTGCTTTTGTCCATGACGCCCAGAGCCCGTGAGTTCAGGAAGTGGACTGGGTGGCACTTTTGGAACAACTCCTGCCAGGACGTGGAGAGAAGAGGTTCAGATTACCAGCCTTCAGAGCCTCGTGGCAAAGGCCAGGTCCCAGGGAGGGTGGGGGTTTTGTGGGGGCCATCTCCGCAATCCTGGGTTCAATGCCCACCCGACAGACCACAGAGGTCGGCTGCAGGGCTCCCGGCATCCAGGCAGCCCCTGTGACAGCAGGTGGGATCACGAAGTTGGCATCACTGCTGTCACCTGCTGTGTGATCCAGGATGGCAGGGCCTGGGAAGGGGCTGCCTGAGGGCTGGCTGTGGTGGAGGTAGAGGAAGATGGGCAGAGCCCTGGCAGCTGGGTGGGGGCGCAAGGAACTGGGTTGGCCCAACTCCCACGGAGGCGCTGGGGGCAGAGACTTGGCACCCCATATGGCCCTCAGGCCGTCCTCTAGTGCCTGTGAGGCCAGAGTGCTGGGCAGAGGCAGGTCCAGACCCTGCAGGCAGCTGTCCGGAGAGGAGGGCCCAGCTTTGCTGGGACAAATCCCCTGCTGGGGCCTCCCGTTGACGCAGCAGCCGCCCAGACCTGTGCGCCTGGCAGCCGGCCCCTCCCTGCCTGTCTGTTCCTCCGGGAAGCGGCCACTGAGGGCCCTGTGGGCGCCGAGTGTCCCTGGGGCGGGTGACCCGGTGTGGATTCTCCCCCTCCTCACCTGCTGCAGCAGCGTGAGCTGGCTGAAGAGCTGGTGGGTGCTATACTCGGTCAGGAAGTAGGGCCCCTTCTCACTGGTCTTGGCGCAGGGGCCGTAGAAGTCCTCAAGGAAGCAGGGCTTGGGCAGCGCCGCGGCGATGGTGTAGGGCCGCTCCTTGTGCGGTGGCAGTACCAGCCCGTTGCCCCGCGGCAGCCTCCAGGGGAAGCTCTGCAGGGCAGGCCGGGCACTGAGGGGCCCCTCGGGTCAGGGGTCCAGGGAGGCAGGGCGGGGTGAGGACCGGGCCAGGCCCAAGCCCACACTCCTCAGACTGGGCCAGCCAGAGCCAGAGAGCGGCCTGCCCACCCACTGCTGGGCTGGCACAAGGATGCTCGTCCTGCTCATTTCAGCAGGTCCCCCATGGCAGGGCCGCTGAGGTTTAATGGGAAGGCCGTTCATCTCCCCACACTGGTTTCTTCCACCCAGTCTCTGGCCAAGGGTCAGTGAGTCATAGCAGGACCCTCCTCAGCCGAGAGCCTGGGAGCGCGCAGCCCAGTAGGGCTGCCTGCGACTGGGAACATGGAGGGTGTGCACATGGGTGTGTGGGGGTGCACATGTGTGGATGTGTGTGAGGGTGCATGTGTGTGTGAGGGTGCACACGTGTGTGAACACATGCATGTGTGTGGGAGGGTGCACGTGTGTGAGGGTGCACACGCATGTGAGGCTGCACGTGTGTGAACACATGTATGTATGTGAGGGTGCACGTGTGTGAACACATGCATGTATGTGTGTGAGGGTGCATGTGTGTATGTGAGGGTGCACACGTGTGTGTGAGGCTGCACGTGTATGTGTGTGAGGGTGCACGTGCAAGGGTGCACGTGTGTGCATTTGTGGGTGTGTGCAGCTGTGCACAGAGGTGCACGTGCATATGTGTATGCATGTATATGGATGTGTACCTGTGCGCGTATGTGTGTACATGTGTTCTTGAGGCTGGGCTCAGGGGGCCACATCTGCCTGTCCAGGGAGGCCCTCCCCTGGGAAAGACCCCCACCTTCCGGGAGAGGCCGTCCTCCGAGAGCCTCTTACAGAGGGCGTTGAAGGGCCTGGTGTCTTCCTCCGCCTCCTTGGGGTTCTCCAGGTCTGTGCCTCGAGGGCTGCCCTCCGCCCGCCGGTCTGTACCCACCTCCAGGAGGCCCAGCAGGTGCTCTGCGGAGCCGTCCAGGGGTAGGATCTAGGCACAAGTATGGTGCATGGTGGTCAGTGCCACTTTCCGGAGGAGGGCAGCACCTCCCGCCGTGGGGTCCAGGGCGCAGCTGCCTGGCTCAGTGCACAGTCACCTTGGAGGAGATGAAGTCCTCCAGCTGCCCCAGCAGCCCGCTGTTCCGGGTGAAGTCCACGGTGTAGCAGTCCTCCACCCAGGCCTGCAGCACGCACAGGCTCCGCCTGTAGATCTTGGTGAAAGTCGAGGTGGGGTCCTGGTGGGCCCTGGAGGCATGGGGGAGCTGCCTGAGCTGCCAGGATGCGTGAGTGGGGGACAGAGGCCCAGGGGCTGTGCGCGGCTCTCCCAAGGGGCAGGACAGGACCAGGCTCCACATGTGCAGGGGGCTTAGGGGGCTGGGGGGTCTTCTGTGGGTCCCTCCCCCAAGGCAGGAGCTGACCGGCTGATGGCCTGAGGGGCCAAGGGGGTGCCCAGCCTGGGTGTGTGTGGGCCTGGGCAAGGGGATGCATGGGGTGTCCTAGGGGTCAGCAGGTCAACCTAGAGAGGCAGAACACCTCTCCCTCTCTTGACCCCAGCTGTTGGCCATGGGAACAGAGGGAGGCTGGGGGCCGGCAGGACCCTCTGCTTGGTGTTCCCGAGCTGACCTGCTGACTCTCCCTGCCCTCCACTTTCCTCCTTGTCAGTAGGAAGAGGCTCCACTCCCAGGCACCTCCCAGTGCTCCCAGACTCCCAGGCCACTGCCCTCCTGCCCCGGTCGCTTTCTCTGCCTCCATGTGTGTTCCCGACCTCCGGCCAGGCTTCCCTGGCCCCTCACCCTCCAGGGACTGCCTTAGCCTTCATGGTGGCTAAACCAGGCCCACAGGAACCCGCCCTGCCCCGGGGAAGCGCTGGCGGGCGTGGGCACAGTACCTGGACAGCGTGCTGTTGATGCGGTCGAGGAGGAAGTGCAGGAAGTCGTGGGGCGTACAGAAGTAGCGGAAGGTGTACAGGAACTGCTGCACGTAGCCCTCCAGGAAGGCGTCGCTGTGGGCGGGGCAGGCAGGGCGGCAGTGAGCGGTGCCGCGGCCCAGCCAGGCTCCGCCAGTGTTCTGGGGGTGTGAGTGTGCGTGAGTGTGAGTGCGCCTTCTCTGTGCATGTCACTGTCAGGAGAATCGCCAGAGAAATTAAAGGGGGGCCAGGATAACATCTGAACTCCCAAGTGTTCCCAGCGCCAGGCCTTTCTGAGCGTGGCCTGTGTGGGGCCTCGTGGCGCCTCCACTGGCCGGGCCGTCAGCCTGGGAAGCCGAGGGAGCCGGTGCCTCGGGCCGGGCGCCACGCTGCGCACTCAAAGCGCCTGTCTTCACCGGGTGAAACCGGCCACCCTCAGGAGATACCGTCCAGGGGCCTGCAAGCAGGTCAGGGACTGTCCCAGTGTCCTGGGAGCCCGACCTCCGTGGTCAGGAAGGCGAGGCCTAGCAAGGCGTCCTCCCATGCTGGAGGAGCCTCGGGCAGGAGACCGGGTGGCTCTGGAACCAGGGGCCTGGTCACCCGCTCGCCTCCTCGGACACAGGGAGCCACAGCTCAGGCCAAGCACCACACAGGCCCACACACCACACAGGTGCTCACGTGCCAGGCAAACCCCCATTGCCACCAGCTCTACAAAGCGGGGAAGCCCCTTGTGACCACATGCACGGCCAGGGGACCCCACGCTACACACCACACACATGCCACACATACCACACACCACACACGTACACACACCACACTATATCCCACAGCACATAACACACATGTGCTACACTGTACCCCCCACCACACAACACACGTGCCACACACCATACCCCACATCACACCCTACACACGTACACACACCACACTGTACCCCACACCACACACCACACTATGCCCCACGCCACACACGTACACACACACCACACTATACCCCACAGCACACAACACACACCACACAACACACACCACATTATACCCCATGCCACACACCACATGCACGGCCAGGAGATGCTCCTTCCATGGAAGCACAGAGCTCACGCTCACACCTGTAAGCCACACAGAATGCCACAACCACAGACATGCACACACACACTACACACCACACATGTACCACACTATACCCCACACCACACACGTGCACACATGCCATGTGATACCCCACAACCATACACTACACACAATACTCCACATCACACACCATACATGGGCACACAAGCCACACACACTGCCCCACACATGCACACCACACATGTGCCTACCATACCACACATCCCACAACCACACACATACCCCACACACTCCATACAAGTCTAAATACATGTCACATTTGTATACTCCACATGCATGATACAGCACATCACACAACACCCCGACACGCCACACATGCGTACACCAGGAACATGCCACACTGCACACGTGCACAGCCACGCACACAGGTGTTTCCCACAACAGCACAGAGACTCTATGGTGGGTGTGGCTGTGCCTGCCTTGCAGATGAGGAGGCTGAGACCTGGGTCTGAGGGTCGGTCTGGAGCTCTGGCCAGTAGGAGGCCCCTCGAGACCAGGGCCAGCTCACCTTAGGGTAATGGGGCCAGGGGAGGAGGCTGCTGTCCCTCTCTAGAGGGTCCCTGGGGTAACGGGGCTGGGGGGAAGACACCACTGTTCCTCTCTAGGGCCTCCCTGTCCTCATACCTACTGGCCTCCTCGGTGTCCTTTGCTGGGCCCCAAGGGGCAAGTGCTCCTCTGCTCAGAGAGGACCCTTGGGGCTCCAAAGTGGTGTCATTAGGGTCCCATAGCCAAGATGGGGTGGGCCAGTCACTGTCCGGGAGGGGTGCCTCTCTGGTAGTGGGTCAGACCAGTGGGTGCAGAGCTCCCGGTGCCTGAGAACAGGGTGCAGCCAAGGCCCCTGCAGGGCAGAGCGGGTGAAGGGCGAGGGGGTGGGTGGGGCGGCCGGGGGTCTGGCCCTGTGGCCTCGGCAGAGGTGAGGGGACCTGTTGGGTCCTCGCTGCTGTGGGTGCACGCACACCAGTATTTACGGATCGGGGTCTCGGGAGCCAGTGCACACACCGAGCGGGGCGATGGTGGAAACCCCCAGCCCGACTGCGTCCCTGGGCCAGGAGGCTCCTTGCCGGCTGTTCTGACACGGTGAGCTGGGCGGAGTCCAGGCCACACCGCCGAGCTGCCGCGTGTGGGCTTTTGGAAGCCGTCCGCGTGTTAATTATGTAGGGTGGGTTTCCCAGCACCTCCAGGGACTGCCGGGCGCACCCTGAGACCCGGTGTCCAGGCCTGCAGGCCACTCTGGCCGGCGTCTCTGCAGAGCTGCCGGCGGCCCCCCGGGTGCACGGTGGCCCCGAGTAAACATCTCTCCCAGCTAGAAAGTGCACACCCAGCCTGGCGGAGGGGCCGGGGCCCGTGCCCCCCTTTTCAGCGCCCAGGGCGGTGTCTCCCTCTCCCGGCGAGCTTTCGTCGTGACGCACCTGGAGTAGAGGTAGGCCATGAGCCCCAGCGGCGTGCCGGCCTGCAGGATGCGGGCTTTCTGCCGGCCGCCCGGGTGCTTGTTGACGTTGTAGAAGATGAGTGAGGAGGACTCGTCCAGGGGGCTGAAATCCAGCGTGTCGCAGGGCGCGGCCGCGATGTTCACGATGACCGGCAGGGCGCAGGGCTCCAGGCCCCAGCGCTCCGCGTACATGACCTGCCGGCGGGACACGGGCACTGGGTCACCCTGCCCTTCCCCTCAGGGCCTCCTCAAATCAGGGCCCCTCTCATGACTTAGCACGGACAGACCGACGGCATCCCGCGGTGGGACGCTGTCCGAGGCGAAGGCCTCGCGGACGGAGCGGGCCGCAGAACTTGCCTGCAGGTACTTCTTGACCAGGCCGAGGAACTGCACCCTGGATTTCATTTCTTCCAGCTGCCCTTTCAGTTTGGACAGCATGGTCTTGACGTCAGAGCCTGTGGGCAGGGCAGAGTGGGCCGGGGCCAGGCTCCTGCGGCTGGGGTGTCTGACCTGCGCCCCCACGGCCTCACCTTTGCTCCTCTTTTCCTTCTGCAGGAGCTTCTGGTAGAACTTCAGGGTCTTGCGATAGTTTCTTTTCTCGATCATGAGCTGCTGCTCCAGCTCCTGCTGACGAAACACAGCGCCTAAGCCCCAGGCAGCCCCGCACGTCGGCCATGTCCAGGGCCAGGCCCCACCCCGCGGGGCCCTCCCAGGCCTTGGAGATCAGCTGCAGCGCAGCGTCCCATAGAGACCGGCCCACACAGCCAACGAGGCTGTCCCCTGCCGGGCAGTGTGGTGTGGGGGCCTCTGCTGTCCCCCGGCTCACAGGGCAGTGCCCAGCACCCCTCACCAGTCAGGCCCTGTGGGGTGTGCTCAGGGGACAGTGGGCACTGCTGTGTGGCCACAACCTGGGGCCTCAGTAGAACCAGACGCCACCCAAGTTAGCCCCAGGCTCTCCTGCCCAAGCAGGTAGGGCTGTGTCACCTCTGGGACCCCAGGCTCAGGTTGTGGGGGGGGAGAGGTGCGGGGGGAGGGTGCGGGGAGGACGGGGTGTGACCTCCCAAGGCGTATCCCACGTCTTCAGGCGTCTGCCTGTCTTTTCGTTTTCTATTTTTATTGACTTTTTTTTGGTTTTTTAGAGATGACGTCTCGCTCTGTCACGCAGGCTGGAACGCAGAGGTGTGATCACAACTCACTGCGGCTTTCAACTCCCTTGGCTCACGCGATTCTCCCATCTGAGCCTCCCAATGTGCTGGGACTGCGGGTGTGAGCCACTGCACCAGGCCTTGCCTTTCCTTTAAACTTAGGCTTAAAGAAGCCCAAACATACGGAGTCCCGCTGTCCTGTGCAGACAAGACCCCTGGAAGCCGTCCTCCTGGGAACTTGCCAGCTGGACCATCATGGTTTGCTGGGCAGCAGCCACAGGGTTTGCCCCAGCCCTTGGCTGCCCTGTACAGTGTGAGTGTTAAGTGCACACCCGGGTGTGACTCTCCTGAGCCTGCCAGGGTCTGAGTTCCTGCCTGGAAGATGGAGTTGGGGACCTCATCCCCAAGGCTGTCTCTGTGAGGGAAGGGACTGAGGCCAGACGGGCAGGTCCTGACTGCAGGAGCCAGGAGGGAGGGCCGCTGGGCTCTGCCTCATGCACAGACACCAGCTGGGACCGAGTGTGTCCTGGGATGGGACTGTATTCAGGGAGGGGGGCCCATTGTCCCAGGACGCCTCCCATGCTGGGCAGCCGCTCATCCGGTACCCCCGTGTCCTGTGGGACAGGCACCCATCGTGGAGGCTGGAGCAGGGGTGCCCTGAGGATGAGCCTGCCAGGGCAGTGACCCCAGAGATGGCCTTACCCTCCCAGGGCACAGGGGCAGATACAGCCTCCTCCTGCACCTGTGGGGCTTGGCCCAGCACCAAGGAGGGGAGTGATTCGGGGGGGATGCTGGGAAGCCTTGGGGGTCCATGGGAGCTGGGCTGGGGCAGCAGGTCTTCAGCTGGGACTATGAGGTGCCACAAGGCAGGGGCACCTGGTGGAGGGCAGAGGTGAGAGGCACGGCAGCTCTGGCCCAGGCCTCTTGGGAGGGGTTCACGTGCCCACGGCCAGCAGCGACCGCCCCGAGGGGTCATCCACTTGGGAGCCCGTCCAGCAAGCTTCCTTCTGTTACGCGCCGTAGGCTCGGATCCGCCAGCCAACCCTGCCTGTCAGCCTGCCAGCGACTCTGCTCTGTTGATAGTGCTTATTTTTGAATTTTGTTTTGCAAAATAAAAAATGCGGGTGATATTTCTATGTAATGATTTGAATCCACTCTATCTGGTGGTTCCATGGAGGCGGGGGCCCGCTGCTGTCTTCTCCCACGTACAGGTTCAGGGACGGCAGTGGCAGCCCCACGGAGGGCCAGGCTCCCGGCGAAGGCAGTGTGGGCAGCAGTCCCGGCTGGCTGTGTGAAGACCGGCCCCTCTACAGAACCTCAGCGGGTAAGCGCTCGGGTCCTGCTCCCGCCCAGCCAGGTAGAACCCGCCTCCCACACTGAGCCACCGGAGGCTGCCTAATGTGCAGTGAAATTAAAATGTCAGGTCCTCAGTCATGTGGGTCTTGTTTCCAGAACTCAGCAGCCACACGTGGCTATTGGCTGCCCTGTGGACAGTGTGGATCTAGAATATTCCATCATCAAGGAAGGGCCGACTGGGCTGGGCAGGTCAAGTTCAATCAATGCAGGTGCCCCCAAGGAGCTGTGTGTTCTGCTTCTGAGGACGGTGGTGACCACGTCCCCCGTGGCTGCACCACAGGGCCCTTGTCTGGCCCCAGAGGTCACCTGCGCTGGCTCCAGCCCCCTCACCCCATCCATTTGTAGAGATGCCGATGTCGGCAAACTCTCCTGGGGAAGGCCTCTGTGCTTCAAGGCATCGGAAAACCGGGAGGGGGCATCCTCGGCCTGATGCCCGCCTGGCTGGAGCGTGGCTTGGGCAGGCTCGTCCACAGCCGCCTTTCACAGCTGGACACCACGTCCACGTCAGTGGCGCTGACTCACTGGGAACCACAGGCAGATTCCTTGAGAATCCATCCACGGGGTGGTGGGGAAGAAAACACGAGCCGGGCTTCACTGGTGCAGACGGTCGGGGGACGAACCACGCCAGCCACGCCGGCGCCCTCACCTGACTCTGGGAGCCATGCTTGCTTTTTTTTCTTTCTCTCTCTTTCTTTTTCTTTCTTTCTTTCCTTCTTTCTTGAAGCCATGCTTGTTTTTTTTTTCTTTTTTTCTTTCTCTCTCTCTTTCTTTCCTTCTTTCCTTCCTGGAGCCGTGCTTTTTTTCCTCTTTCCTTCTCCTCCCTTCCTCCCTTCCTTTTCTCTTTTTTTCCCATGCTGGTTTTAATAGCAGGAGATGCAGACGCCGGCTCCGCAGCCCCAGGGAGCCCGCAGTGCTGAGCCCAGCACACAAGGCCGGCTGCAGCGGCCACAGCAGGTGAGGGTCAGCGCTGAATGGAGAAAATGCCCACCCACTGGCAGCTCTGGCTGCCCCGGAGAATGGCCCTGGCCCGCCTGCACTGTGTGCTCTTTGAGCTGCAGATGTGAAAATCTGTCTCCGGGTGTTTCTTTGCCCTTCCTGTGGCTCTGAGCCTCCTGTTTTGAAACAGACATAGTAGTTCCTCCAAGAGAAACGTGAGGCTGTGGCCATGGGCTGGACTCTGTGCACTGGGAGGCCGAGTGCCCCGCGGACCTGTGCACTGGGAGGCCGAGTGCCCCTCAGACCTGTGCATTTGGGGGTGAGTCCTCCCTGCTGGACGCCGGGCGTTTGGGGCTGAGTGCTCCCTGCAAGAGTCCGTGAGTTTGGGGGCTGGGTCCTCCCTCAGGACGCTGCGTGTTTGGGGCCGGGCCGTTTGGTGTCTGCGTGCAGGCCGCCCTGTCCCTCCCCAGCCCCAGGGGAGGCCTGCGTCCTCGAAGTGCCCTCAGGCCGTGTGTGGGGTGTTCCAGATGCAGAGGCTGTAGCACCATGCAGGCCCTTCACATGGCCCAGAAGTGGAAATGAACACTTCGCAGAGCTTAACCTCGGTCTCCTCCCCGACCCCGGGAAGACGCTGGGTCACCTGGACTGAGTTATAAATGGGGCCCAGGAGGAGGCAGAAGGGGAGCAAGGAGGAGCCCCAGGACAGGTTTGAAGCCCAGAGGCTGGGGAGGCTTCCCACTGCGGCTGAAGCTCGAGGCAGGAGGTGGTTGGAGAGTTCCCGGAGCTACCGCTGGGCCCTCCTGTCATCGACCCTGGGCACTTGGGCCTCGCGTGACTGCGGGCCTGTCTGCGGCTGTGGGTCACTGGCCCCCATTGTGTTGAGAGCGCTGAAGGCCCCTCCTGCATCCCAGGATGCTCGTTCTAAGACCTCCCCTCCCTGCTGACCAGGGAGGAGTTGCAGCTGCTCCTGTCCCAGGACGGCACCGCTGGCCACAAAGCGCAGGCCAGGCTGCAGCGACCAGGCCCAACGTGGGCTTGCGGGGCAGGCGTTTCTGGTGTTTTCTTTCACCGCAGAGCGAGGCTGTGCAATGCCCGGAGGGCTGCGCCTGCCCCATGGGAAACATGGCCGGTCGCAGCCTGATCACGAGCACCGAGGGGCCTCCTGGGAACCCACCGCCCCAGTAACCACCAGAGAAAAGCCATTCCCTATCCCCAAACGTGGGGCACCGGCGCAGACAGCTCAACCCAGAGGGGCCCCAACCGTCGCCACAGCCACGGGGTGGGGGCACCAGACGGGCGTCACCCTGCTGGGGCTCAGAGCACATTGTACCACCTGTCACCTGCAGTGGCCGGGAGCTCTGCTGGAAGGAGGCCCCGCCCTGCCAGTCCTGCAGGGCCTCGGCTTGGGACTCACCGGGCTGTGGGCGTCGGGCAGGGCCCCGTCCGCGTGCTGCCGCCCCAGGTCCTCCACGTAGCTGTGGACGTCGGCCCCGAAGCAGTCGGCCTCGTAGAAGGCGCTGCACCAGCCTGGGCTGCAGCTCTGCAGTCCAGCGGGGCCGGGGGACACAGCCGGGCTGCCCCCCTTGGACTTGGCTGGTGTAGCCACGGCTTCCACGTCCAGGGCTCCGCCCGCCGACCGCCTTTCCTCGTCCGCCTCAGGCAGCTGCACTCTGTCGGCTTTTATGGACCTCTGAGGCCGAAATCCCACTTCAAAGTTTCCCCGCGAGAGCTCGTCTGAGTCCACGCCGGACACTGAGGTGGGTGGGCAGGGGGCCCAGCTGGCCCTGGCCACGGCTGGCTTCTCTTTTCCTTGAAAGAGAGAGACACAGGTTCTGTGGATGGTGGCTCGTGTGCGCGGAGCCTGTGCTGGCTGATTACGGGACGGGGTGCTGCCTGGACGTGGAAGCCCGTCTCTCCCGGAACCACCTCCGGCACCCCCGACATGGCTGCCGCTCCTGGCGCAGGGGAGATGCTGGACCCTGAACTGCCGCACGGGGTGGGTTAGGCCTCCCCGCAGGTGGAGCCCCTCTCTGAGCCCTCACTCCTTCCAGACTTGTGGGTCCTGGGGTGGGGCCGCCCCCATTCCCGCCGTTCCCGCCGTCAAGGCTGTGCCCTCTGCCCCAACCCTCTCTGCTTCTGGAAGTTAAAATGTGGCCCCAGCTCTGCTCCTGCCTGAAGCTTCTCCCGTGCAGGGCTTCCCGCCACCCAGGACGGCACGGGCCTCACACTGCGGCCTGGCCACCTGGTCTCTGACTCGTTGGAATGGGAACTGGGCCACCACCAAGCTTGGCCACGACCACAGACAGCCTGAGGGTGACCACGGCCACCAGCTTGTTCCTAACCCCCCAGCCTGCTGGTCGTACACTGGAACTTCCCCAGCCTGGAATCCACGTGCCCCGGGAACTTGGGGCTAACACGCCAGGAGCCCAGCCCTGGAGCCTTTTGGCAGCAAGCCCACTTCTGCCTTGTTACCAAAGCCTGGGGCGCCCAGCCCCGCCTCTGCCTGGAGATGGGATCACCCCCGGCTCCCAGCAGTTCTCTATCCCAATGGCTGGTGACAGGGGATCCCCCCTCCAAGGCCCTGGGCTCCTCTCGTCCCCAGGAGAGGACGGCCTTTGGCTGGGGTGCCCCAGGGCAAAGACAGAGCCGTCCAAGGCTGCCGGGACCCTGGGGCACCCCACGACTTGCGGAGAGGACAGAGGAGCCGCCCTGCTGTGGGCTGGCCAGCACTTACCCAGGCGGTGCAGGGAGGGCCTCTTGCTGGATGGGGAGCAGGGCCTGGGGCTGACCTCTGGCTGTGACCCAGCCTCCTCGGCCGCACTGACAACAAGAATGCAGGTCAGGCACCATCCCCACCCCCGCCCACTGGGAGGAGAACTCAGTCTCCACCGGCCTGGCCTACTGGCCCACCTGGCCACACAGAGCCGTCGCCAGAAGCATCAGGAGCCGGCCCCTCTCGGGTCACTGAGGGGCATAGCAGCTGGTGGGATCCCCAGGTCATTAGCTGCTTGGGGTCCCTGGGGGGCTCTGGAGCAGCCTCTCCGTGCTGCGGGGCTGGGGGCCGGGGCTGAGGCGGGCACACTTGTGCGCCTCACACTTGTGACTCCACACATGGGTGCAGGAGCTGCCTGGGCCACGAGCGCCGTGTCAAGCCATGAGCAAGGCAACATGGGGCCCCCACTGCGGCTCAGGGCTGGGCCCTGCGGGCTCTGGGGCTGCCTGTTTGGGGTCTCCTCTCCTCCTTCGGGACCTCACTCTGGTCCCTCTGAGCAGGAAACCCTGTGGCCACCATGGCCCAGGCCCCCACAGCCTCCCAGAGAGCACCTGCGCTGTGCTCCCCACGAGCCTTTTCTTCCTCTGGAGGGAACTCAGGCCCGACAGAAAGCTGTGGTGGGCGTCAGGACCACGGAGAGGGGTGGCTGGGACGCCACCCGTCTCCCCTGGGGGTGGCCTCTCTGAGGCAGAGGCAGAATGGACACTGAGGGTTGGGAGGTGAAGGCTGGGCCGCGTCAGGGCCGGAGCACGGTGGGTGTCAGGGAAGGGCGGGGAGGCAGGGCTGCCCCGGGGCACCCACCTTGCGGAGGGTGACGCCGGCCGGTTCACCACCCTGAAGAGGCTCTGCAGCAGCTTCTCGTCCCAGTACAGGTCACAAAACTTCTCGGAAATGGCGCCACAGAAAGTAGCAAAGGTGAGGTCTTTCAAGGCGAAGATGTACTCCCCTGGTTTTCAAAAACGATGGAGGCAAGTGGGACGGAGGCAAGTGGGACGGAGGCGAGGCCGCTTTCTAAAAGGCTCCCTCATGGCTGATGAAACGGACAAGGCTGGTCTTGGCTGGGGGTGCTGGGGGTCGCGGGGCTCTCCCTAGCCCAGGCCTCCTCTGGGGAGTCTGTGGCCCCCACGTACCCATGATCAGAGCCTCCAGCCCGTTGTCCAGGTAGCCATCGAAGGCAAACTCCTCCTGGATGAGGCGTGTGGCCTCCTGCAGCGACGGGCAGGCTGTCCTCCCCGGCAGTGGTGCGGCATCCACACAGGGCAGACAGGGCCTCCGGTCTGCGGGCCGTGGCCTCTCTGGGACACTGTCCGGGCTCTGGTTGTCATGCTCCCCAGCAGGGGTGGCCCTGAGGCCCTCTGGCTCCTGACCTGGGCGCTCGGTGGCCTTGCTGCGGGGAGGCTTGGGCGGGTGTCGAGGGCCGTGGTGGATCGTGGTGGGCCCCAGGGCGCCGGGCCTGAGGCCCCCGGAAGTGACTCCAGGAAGGACCTGCCCAGCCGGCCCTTGCTCTCCGGGCAGCGCAGATGGGCTGGGAACCTCGGCTGAGGCCCCGTCTGGCTGGTTTGCTGGGGCTGCGGGTGGAGGGCAGGGGCAGCCCTGGGCTGAGCCACGCTGCACTGACTCCCCAAGAGGCTCTGGGGCTGCTCCCTGTGGCCCGTCAGGTGCCTTCAGACTGGGTGACCCGGCGTGAGCCTCCGGGCAGAGCGTCCCCTCACCTTCCCTCTCCCTCTGGCTGTTCCTCTCCTGGGACTCCTCCTGGGCCAAGGCAGGCTGGTCCCTACAGGAGGAACCGAGCTCAGCAGGGGTCGCCTGCGCCCGGGCCCCAGCAGCTCCGGGGCGTGGGGACGGAGGCTCACCTGGCCACACTGGGGTCCTGCGTGAGGATGATGGGCTTGAAGTGCGTGGCCTCGGAGGTGAATGCTTCGGGCAGCTGGGCGGCTTCTTCACAGCAGGGATGTTGGCCGGGCACGGGCCCTGGCACAGCCACAAGCCCAGTGTCGCTGTTCACCGGCAGGAAGCCTGGGGACCCAGGGGGCTGAGCGTGCAGGTAGGGCCTGGCCGGGCGGGTGCCGAGGAGTGTCCCCAGCATGCGCCCCATCCCCAGGGCTCACCCCACCAGTGCACGGTGCTGTCCCCTCCCGCACGTCTCTGGGGGCTTCCTCTGTGCTGGGGCTGGCCCCCAGCGGAAAAGTGGCTATGACCAGTGCTTAGGGAAGGGCCAGCAGGTGGGGACAGGCCAGAAAGACAGGGCCCACCAGGAGGCTTGGAGGGTCCTGCTGGGGAGGGCAAAGCACGGGGGGCGGGTGGGCTCTGTGTGGACTCTGGGGGGTCTCCAGATAGGGGCTTGGGAGGGCCAGCTGCTGGAGACGGGGGTGAGAACCTGGGCCTGAGGAACCGGGAGTTTCGAGATGGGGGCTGGCAGGGGCAGGACTTCCTGCCTGGAGTTCCGGGAGGCGCCCGGCTGTGTCTGCCCAGGCAGAGGCAGGGGTAGCTGTGGGGTGGGGTGCAGTGGCTGGTGGGGGCCCCACCTGGGCCGGGCTCCAAGGCTGATGCTGGGCTGGGCTTCAGTTCAACCACCGAGAAGGTGTTTTGGAGGCTGATGGTCTCTTCCTCCTGGTACACCTGGGAGCAGGTGACAGCTCTGGGCCAGGTGACCATGGCCCTCCGCCAGTGCTGGCAACACCCATGGGGTCTCCCCCCCACCCCACCGCCGGTGCCCAGGGAGCTTCCTGCTTCGGGGAGCCCACGTGGCCCGAGGTCGAGCGGCCCTGCCTGGAGAGGAAGCCTTTGGGGCTCCTTTACCTCCCAATCCAACAAGTTCGGTAGGCTTTGCGAGCGGGAGGTGCCGGCACCACCTGAAACTCAGAGCCTACTGCTCTCTGCACCAGGGGTGGGTGCCAGCTGCCATCCTGGGGACCCTGCCCCAAGGATCCTGATCCGGTTCCCTGGGGGCCACGGGGGGGGGCCTTGGGAGATGGGACCTGAGTGTCCTCTCCACCCTGAGACGCACCCACCCACAGCTTGGTGGTCAACGAAGACCTGTGTGTGGGGCTGCGGGGAGCGGCAAAGCGAGGGCAGGCGGTCTGGGTGGGAGGAGGCGCCCCGCGGTTCTAGCCCCGCCCACCTGGCAGGTGGAAGCTCTGAGGTGGGCGAGGATGCTCCGGCTGTCCATGCCTCGCTGCAGGAGGTAGCTGCTGCACACCTGGAGGAGGAGACCGTCCGGGCATCCTGACGGGCCTTGGCTGTGGTGGCACCCGCCCCATGACCCTGGGTCCTCGTCTGATAAAGCTCAGGTCTGCCACGAGAGCTTCCTGTTTGCTCTCACTGACACCTGACACAGGCCTTGGACGAGCCTTTCTGAGAGCATTTCCTGAAAAGGGTCAGTCGGCCACTGTCCCCCAGGCTCCCTGGGAGCGAAGAGTCCCACACCCAGCGTTGGCCACAGACCTGGTGGCCTTGCTGCCAGGACACCCCAGCCCTGGATCATGTTCACCCGAGCCCATGCTCCCAGGCCCTCCTGTCCTCCCTTTACGAGCCCAGGTCCTGTGCACGTGGGGCGGAGCTCAGCTTCTCCGACTCTCAGCAGTTACTGAGTAAAATCTGCTTTCACTGCTTCGCAGACGCTCAGCAGCATCTAGAGCTCATCCTCCCATGGCAGAGAGGGCCCGAGAGCCCGAGGGTCTGAGCAACCCGTCCAAGGTCACCGAACAGTCAAGGCAGAGACGGGTGGGCCCAGGTCCCGACACCCACAGCCATCTCCGCTCCTCCCCAGGAGGTCTTCCTGATCACACACAGGATTCCTCCCCAGGAGGTCCTCCTGATCACACACACGGCTCCTCCCCAGGAGGTCCTCCTGATCACTGACACATCAGGGTTTGGCTCCTGCCCCCACGCTGGTCCATCTGCTGGGTGCAGGTGCAGGTCCCAGCAGGATGGATGTTAGATCCCAGCCCCGAAGCCTGAGTCCAGCAGGGAGACCAGGAAGGGAGGGGCGAGGCCAGTGGAATCCTCAGAGGAGGTGGGGGTCAGGGTGGGAAGTCAGGGTGGAGGCCACTCTCTGCCCTCCTCCAGCAGGGCCTAAGGGCAGGGGTCCACACGTGGCCACAGGACACCCCCTGCGCCCTCCCTGGCCTCTTGGACAAGCTGGAGAAAGCAGGCATCTCAGGCGGAATGCCTGTGGAGGGGAGCAGCAGAGACCCTGTGCTGTCTGCCCACATGGACGTGGCCACGATGTGAACCCCCACTCTGACCATTGCTTCATGGTCAGATGCAATGGCCGGGCTGACTTCAGAAAAGAGGACCTGCATGCTCACCCCCAGCTCTGCGAGGGTGGTCACTGCCCACAGTCCTTGGACCCTGGGCCAGGCCACGACCACAGTGTAGTTACCTTGATGGCTTCGGCCGTGGACGGCCGCTCCAGGGCACTGCGCTTGGCCATGTCCAGGAGGAGGGCCTTGAGCCTGCGTGGTAGGGCCAGCTTCTGGTTTTGGGGGACGCTGAACTTGGCTGCGGTCCACAGTACAGCGGCCACGCAGTACACAGAGGCCTGGGCGGGTGGAGAGAATCGTGGCGGTCACCGCAGGGCTGTGGGTCACCGTGTCTGGCCGACCTGCCCACCGCGGCACCCTGGGGGCACCCAGGCACTGCCTCCGCAGAGGGCCTCTCCCCAGGAACCCTCCCCAGCGTCGGCCAGGCCTCACCCTGGGCCTGCCCACAGGCATCGAGATTGTGGCCCAGGAACCTGCAGGTCCAACTCCTCGCCACGGTTCTGTCCGAGTTTTAAGCACCCGAGGGGTGGAAGCTCCGACTGGGCTTTCCCGCCATCCGCTCTCCTCATGAAGGCAGCAGCGCCTCAAGGGCCTGAGAACTGGCCGGCACATTCCCGCCTCACGGACCCTGCTCCCGGGGGGCCCCGGCGGGCACTGTGCTGCTACGTGGCTCTCTGAGCAAATGCGCACACACCTCGCCTCTGTGTACACGTGTGTTGCTGACGTGAGCGACGCGCAGCTCACATTCAACGCACTTTGGGTCGGTTCCATGGAACCGGGGGACTCACTGGAGGCTTTTGCTGACTTTTACCCACTTTCATCCACGGCCACGGCAGTACGGGAGCGCTTCCGAGGCGAGCGTTGGTGATGTTTTCACGCATTTGAACACAGGAGATGGAAGACCCGTGCTGGGATTCTGGACGATCTCTGAGCAACGTCTTTGCAGAGCCAGATGGTTTTGGCTGATATCAGAAGACCTGTTCTCCATGTTTTGAGCTATTCAGTGTAGCAGCTACGGACGTGGTTAAGCTTAATCTCGTTATCACGAGTGTAGACGTCGACAAAGCAGGACATTCGTAGCGTCTGCGCTTTCCCTGGGGCTGACTTCCGGCCACCGCTGCGGTGCCCCTGAGTGTGGAGCTGGGACAGGCAACCCCTCCACGGAGTTTCCGCCATCCGGCACAACAGACACCCCAGGAGCACAGATGACAGCCAACTACAGTCAATAAGCAAGAAATTACCCTTTTTAAGCACTTCTTATACTTAAAAAAAATTTACCTTCTTATTCTGAGACAACTGTAGATTGACACACAGTTTTCAGAGGGAGCTGATGTGCCTTGTGCTGGATTCCACGACGGCAGCGTCTTGCAAAACCATGGTCCAACATCTCGGCCAGCAGTCGCCGTGGGCAGCAAGAATCTCAGCACGGCACATGCTGCATGTTCGTTTCCACTCAGTTCTTTCCATTTCTAAAGTTTCCTTGAAACTTCCTCTTTGACACACAGAGTATTTAGAAATGTGTTTCGATTCCAAGTGTCTGGGAAGTTCCCCTGTTATTTTTGTTACTGTGGTCAGAGAACGCATCTGTATAACTTGAATTCTTTCAGGTTTGCTGAGGTTTGCTTTATGGCCCAGGCTTCGCTCTAGCTTGGGGCACATGACGTGGGCAGCTGTGAAGAACGTGCCTTCTGTGCTGCTGGGGTGTTCTTTAGACGCTGACCCAACCCTGTGATTGGCGCTGTTGCTGAGCTCCTGTTTCTACTGGTTTACAGCCTGGCTGTTCCGCCAAGCGCTGAGAGGGGGAAGCCGACGCCTCCGACCGTCACTGTCGGCTGTGCGCCGCGCCCTGCAGCTCTGTTACCGGGGCCCGTACATCTAAACGTATCTAAGCTCTGTCTTCTCGGTGCGTTCACGCTTCACTGTTGCACAATGTCCTTCTGTCTCTGGTGATTTTCTTTGCTCTGAAGCACACTGTGTCTGATATTAATGCCGTCATTTCTGCTTTCTTTTTCGTGTTTTCCTAACGTATCTTTTTCAGCTCTTGTAGCTTTCAGTTATTTTATTTGAAGTGAGTTTCTGGTGGACAGTACACGGTTTGGTCAAGTTTCTAAAAATTCCTGTCAATCTTCTTCCTTTCTCCTCCTCCTTCCTTCTTGTTTTGTTTTTCTTCTTTGCTTACTTCTTCCTCCTTTATTTTTTTATTTTTATTTTTTGAGATGGAGTTTCGCTCTTGCTACCCAGGCTGGAGTGCAGTGGTGCACTCCACTTGTGGTTGTGCACTTGTGTGATCTCGGCTCACCACAACCTCCGCCTCCTGGGTTCAGGCAATTCTCCTGCCTCAGCCTCCTGAGTCGCTGGGATTACAGGCACACGCCACCACGCCCAGCTAATTTTTTGTAGTTTTAGTAGAGACGGGGTTCCACCATGTTGACCAGGATGGTCTCAATCTCTTGACCTCATGATCCACTCGCCTCGGCCTCCCAAAGTGCTGGGATTACAGGCGTGAGCCACCGCACCCGGCTCCTCCTTTATTTTTTTAAGAGACAGGGTCTTGCTCTGTCGCCCAGGCTGGAATACAATGGCTCGATCTAGGCTCACGGCAACCTCTACCTCCCAGGTTCAAGTGGTTCTCCCGCCTCAGCCTCCTGAGTAGCTGGGATCACAGGTGCCCACCATCACACCTGGCTAATTTTTGTATTTTTAGTACTCTGTACTAAAAATGGGGTGTTGCCATGTTGGCCAGGCTGGTCTTGAACGCCTGACCTCAGGTCATCTGTCCGCCTTGGCCTCCAAAGTCTTGGGACTATAGAGCTAAACCACTGTGCCCAGCCTGTTTCCTTAATTTCTAAAGGATATTTTTGCTGGAAATAGGTTTCTGGGCTGACAGAAACACTTTCAACACTTAAAAAAATGCTGTGCGCTTCCTCTACAGTTACTGATGAGAAACCAGACCTTAGAGCCGCCTTCCCCATGTCTGCATATGTGTAAGCTGCTCTTTCTCTTTTCTTCTTTTTTGGAGGGGAGGGTGAGTATTCAGAGGGCTGACCATGTGCGTTGATTCTGTTTGGGCTTTCTCACCTTCTTCAATCTGTAGGCTTGTGTGTCTTCCATGATTGGGAAGTTTTCAGCCCTTATTTCTCTGAGTACTTTTGATGCCCACCCCCTTCTCTTCTTTTTCCCGGATTTTGATGACATGGATATTAGATCTTTTGTAACAGTGTCGCAAGCTTCTCAGGCTCTGTTCAGTTTTTTGGGTCTATTTTCTCTTTGTTGCCTAAACTGTGTAATTTCTATTTTCTGTCTCCATTTCACCAATTCTTTCCTCTTCCTCTCTATTCTGCTATTAAGTCCATTCATTTGAGTTTTTTTTTTTTTTTTTTTTTTTTAAAGATGGGGTTTCACCATGATGGCCAGGCTGGTCTTGAACTCCTGACCCCAGGTGATCCACCCACCTGGGCCTCCCAAAGTGCTAGGATTACAGGCGTAAGCCACTGCACCTGGCCTCATTGAGTTTTTTAAAAATCAGCTCTAAAATTTCCATTAGCATTTTTTTTAAAGTTTCTATTTCTTTGCTGAGACTGTTTTTTATTTGTTTCAAGCATGTTTGCAATTTCCCACTGACGCATTTTTATGACGGTTGCTTTAAAACTTTTAAAGTTGGCTGGGCACAGTGGCTCACACCTGTAATCCCAGCACTTTGGAAGGCCAAGGTGGGTGGATCCACTGAGGTCAGGAGTTCGAGGCCAGCCTGACCAACATGGAGAAATCCCATCTCTACTAAAAATATAAAATTAGCCAGGCGTGGTGGCACATGCCTGTGATCCCAGCTACTTGGGAGGCTGACGCAGGAGAATCGCTTGAACCCGGGAGGTCGAAGTTGCAGTGAGCTGAGACCAGGCCCCTGCACTCCAGCCTGGCCGACAGAACGAGACTCATCTGGAGGTTCGTATCTACTGGTTGCCTTTTTTCATTCAGTTTGACATCTTCCTGGTTCTGGTATCATGAGTGACTTTCAACAGAAAAGATATGACTCTGTATCTTGTATAAACCTCCTCTTTTAAAAAAAGGATTTATTTTATTTCAACTTTAGTTTTAGATTCAGGAAGTGCCTGTGCAGGTTTGCTATGAGGGTGTACCGTGTGACACTGGGGTCTGGAGTCCAGTGACCCCATCACCTGGGTAGTGAGCACAGCACCCAGCAGGTGGGTTTTCGACTCTTGCCCACCTCCCCGCCATGCCCCCTGTGCTCCTCAGTGTCTGTTTCCCCATGAGCACGCCCATGTGTAGCCAATGCTGAGGTACCACTTAGGAGTGAGAACTCGCAGAAATGTGTCTGCATTACTTCGCTTAAGATAACAGCCTCCAGCTTCATCCATGCTGCTGCAGAGGACCCGATCCCATTTTTTTCATGGCTGCATAGTATTCCACTATAAGTGCCACATTTCCTTTATCCAACCCTCCACGGATGGACACCTGCATTGACTCCATCTGTGCTACTGTGAACAGTGTGGCGGTGAACGTGGGACTGCAGGTGTCTTTGGCAGAACAATGTATTCTTTGTGTAAATACCCAGTAACGGGATTTCCAGGTTGAATGGGTTGCTCTTACATTCAGTTCTTTGAGAAATCTCCAAGCTCCTTTCCCCAGTGGCTGAACTAACTTGCATTCCCACTAACAGAGTCTAAGCGTTCGTTCCCTTTTCTCCACGGCCTGCCCGCATCTGCTGTTTCTTGGCTTTTTAGGAACAGCCATTTGGGCTGGTGTGGGTGGCCGCATGGTGGTTCATTGGCCTCTCTCTGGTGATCAGCGACCTGGGGCGTTTTTCATGTTCGTGGGCTGCTCCTTTCTTTTGAGAGGTGTCATCTGTTCACGTCCTTTGCCTGCATTTGAATGGGGTTGTTTGGTTTTTGCTTGTTTTGTTCCTTCTAGATTCTGGATATTAGACATTGATCAGATACATAGTTTGCAAATATTTTCTCCCATTCTGCAGGTTTTCTGTTTACTCTGTTGCTAGTTTCTTTTGCTGTGTAAATCCCTTTAGTTTAATTCGGTCCCACTTGTTAATTTTTGCTTTTGTTGCAATTGCTTTTGAGGGCTTAGTCATAAATTCCTTGCCAAGGCCGATGTCCAGAATGCTGTTTCCTAGGTTTTCTACTAGGATTCTTATGGTTTGAGGCCTTACATTTAAGCCTTTCGTCCATCTTGAGTTGACTTTTATATATGGAGGAAGATAGGGGTCCAGCTTCATTCTTCTGCATGTGGCTTGCCAGCTCTCCCAGCACCATTTATTGAATGGGGAGTCCTTTCCCCATTGCTTGAGCTTGTCAGCTCTGTTGAAGATCAGATGATTGTATGCGTGCAGCCTTATTTCTGGGCTCTCTATTCTGCTCTACTGGTCTATGTATCTGTCTTTGTGTACCAGTGCCATGCTGTTTGGGTGACTGTGGCTTTGTAGTATAGTTTGAAGTTGGGTAACGTCATGTCTCTGGCTTTGTTCTTTTCACTTAAAATTGCTTTGGCTATTTCAGCTTTTTGGTTTCATATGAATTTTAGAATAGTTTCTTCTAATTCTGTGAAAAATAACATTGGTAATTTGATAGAAATAGCAGTGATTCTACGGATTGCTCTGGGCAGTGTGGCCATTTTACCAACACTGATCCTGCCCATCTGTGAGTGTGGGATGCATCTCCACTTGCTCGTACCATCTCTGATTCCTTCCAGCAGTGTTTTCCAAATGGCCTTGCACAGCAGGCTGCAGGGAAGGAAGGTCCTGGCTCCTGCTCACCTTCTCTGAGGCCACCTGGGGCCAGGCAGGCACTGGGCACTTCTCTGTAGTCTCACGAGGGTGAGTCCAGGCTCCAGCCTCTGGCCCTTGCTGGGCGGGGCCACAGCGCTCCCGTGGGGTTTGGCTGGCTCAGGGCAGGGGGTGCTGACACATCCTGCTCCTGCCTGGTCCTTTGGTTACAGACCCAGGCTTTCGTTGGGGACGTTTTATTTATTTATTTATTTTTTTGAGACAGGGTCTCACTCTGTTGCCCAGGCTGGAGTGCAGTGGTGCTGTCTTGGCTCACTGCAACCTCTGCCTCCTGGGTTCAAGTGATTTTCCTGCCTCAGCCTCCCAAGTAGCTGGGATTACAGGTGTGCACCACCACACCAGGCTATTTTTGTATTTTTAGTAGAGAAAGAGTTTCACCATGTTGGATAGGCTGGTCTTGAACTCCTAACCTCAGGTGATCCACCCACCTGGGCCTCCCAAAGTACTGGGATTACAGGCTTGAGCCACTGTGCCCGGCCTGTTGGGGTGTTTATTTATTTATTTGCTCTGTCAACCAGGTTGGAGTGTACTGGCATGATCCTGGCTCACTGCAACCTCCCGGTTGAAACAATTCTCCCACCTCAACCTCTCAGGTAGCTGGGATTGCAGGTGCGTGCCACTGCGGCTGGCTAATTTTTGTATTTTTAGTAGAGATGGGGTTTTGCCATGTTGCCCAGGCTGCTTTTGAACTCCTGGGCTCAAGTGATCCACCCACCTCGGCCTCCCAAATTGCTGGGATTACAGGCGTGAGCCACCGCGCCTGGCCTGTTGGGGCTTACATTTTTTTTAATTACTCAAAAAAAGCTTCATTTCTTCTTTAGCTTTCTGACGCTGTGCTTGTGTCTCAGCACTTTGACAGCGATTTAGCGATTTTCCATTTCCTGAAGAGGAACGCGGGCTGGATCCCGCAGGTGCACAGAGCACAGGGAGCCGCTGCCGTGCAGAGGATGCGATTTCTGTTTGGGACAGTATCATAAGAGCTTCAGGTCTCACAGCACGATCCCCCTGAGGTCGGCCTGGGCCACCTGAATTTTACAGCACTTTTCCAGCCTCCTTGGTGTAAAGCTGAGCAATCTGTTGCTGGGGTTCAAGAAAGCCTTTTTTCATGCAAGGCTAGATGGCAGGAAAGCCGTTGACGGTCCGGCGAATGGTGGACCCCTCCGAGTTCCTCTAGACAACATCCCCAGGAGATGAAAAAGCACGGCTGTGCCCACTGGATTTTTCCAGTTGCTGGCTTCTTTACCTCCAAGTCTCAACATATGAGACAGAAAGAAAACGCAGGGCACTCACGGCGGTGATGTCCCTTTGTCTAGAGGCCGCTCACCAGCTGCCTTCTCCTCCCTCTGCAGATGGCCTGGTGCTTGTTTTCTGCACAGTGTGCAGGGTGCTTAGTGCAAGGTGTTTGTTTAATGCAGGGTGCTTAGTGCAGGGTGTTTAGTACAAGGTGCTTAGAGCAAGGTGTATAATGCAGGGTGCTTAGTGCAGGGTGCTCAGTGCAGGGTGTTCAGTGCTGGGTGCTTAGTGCAGGGTGTTTAGTGTGGGGTGTTTAGTGCAGGGTGCTTAGTGCAGGGTGATTGTTTAATACAGTCTGCTTAGTGCAGGGTGTTTTAGTGCAGGGTGCTTAGTGCAGGGTGCTTAGTGCAGGATGTTTGTTTAGTGCAGGGTGTTTAGTGCAGAGTGTTTAGTGCAGGGTATTTGTTTAGTGCAGGGTGCTTAGTGCAGGATGTTTGTTTAGTACATGGTGTTTAGTACAGTATGCTTAGTACAGGGCGTTTGTTTAGTGCATGGTGTTTAGTGCAGGGTGCTCAGTGCAGGGTGCTCAGTGCAGGCTGTTTGTTGAGTGCATGGTATTTAGTGCAGGGTGTTTAGTGCAGGGTGTTTAGTGCAGGGTGCTTAATGCAGGATGTTTGGTGCAGGGTGTTTAGTGCAGGGTGCTTAGTGCAGGATGTTTGGTGCAGGGTGTTTAGTGCAGGGTGTTTATTTAATATATGGTGCTTAGCGCAGGCTGCTTAGTGCAGGGTGTTTAGCATAGGGTACTTAGTGCTCCTTCTTGGTGGGAGGAGTGAGGAAGTTCACATTTCTATCTTCCCTGAGTAGACATTCTACCTTAATTTTGGATGTAATTTATTAATTGTGCTTAAATTTGTATAAATTAACTTTTAATGCTCATGTTTCACAAGTGCCTTATGCCCACCCCTGGGTGTCCAGCCCTTGGTTCTCACGAGCCAGGAGGGGCAGCTCCAGTGCCACAGCCAGTGCTGTCTGCACGGAGCGCTGTCCTAGCTCCCTGGCCGGAGCCACAGCCCTGCTGGCAGATACTGCCCACGACTGCCTGTCCAGGAAGGCCTGCCGTGGCCCCAAGTCCTGACAGGGGCTGCTGGACAGTTGGGGGACGTGGCGCCCCCAAGGGCTGAGAGCAGGGCTGAGGAAGGGTGGGGAGGGCCCAGGTACCTTTTCCGTGACCAGCCTCTCCTCTGCCAGCTCAGGAGCCAGGAAGAACGAGTCATAGGTGCCTAAGAGAGAAGGCCCGGCTCAGTTTTCCTCACCCCTGAGGAGCCGGTGCTAGACCAGGCCTGAGGGGACCCCGCATGCTCACCATTGGCAGGGGGCGGCCGGAAGAGCACAGCCCCGTCCTCAGCGACCAGCACGGAGTCCAGACACAGGTAGGCTGTGGCAGAGCTCGGGTCAGGGTGGGCTGGGGGGAAGGAGCTGGGGAGCCTTGGTCAGGCTGTGTAGCCCCCCAGCCTCCCCATCGTACGGGCACACACCTGCCAGTGCACGCACACTGCCCACCCCCCACGGCCTCCCGGGGTCCTCGGAGCTGCCTCCTCCCAGCCCTCCCCGTGGGCAGCGCCGCCCGGCTGACACCGCGGCTGTACCAGCACGACTGCGGCTGAATGGGAGCTGAGTGGCAAGGACAGCACGCGTTACGGCTCCTCCACTGAAGCCCCGTCACAGGTCCCGTCTTGAGTCAGGGCCCACGGGGCAGCCATGGCCCACGGCAGCGGACACTGGACCCGGGCCGTGTCTCCATGGCCCCTCCCCCAGCCTTTTAGACATGGCCCTCAGCACCCCAGGATGTGCCCTGATGTTTGGCAGGCCGGGCTTTGACAGGGCATGGACCAGCGCAGTGCTGATGACTCCTGCCCTGCTCCAAGGCCAGCGGCTCCTCCCTCGGACAACGTCCCTGTGCTGAGGGTGTGTGGGCGGGGCTACAGTGAGGTCCCCTTCCTCTTCACAGCAGGCCCACCTTGCGGGCATCTGCCCCCATGCCTCCCCCCGTGCCACAACTCAGCAGGCACCCCAAGGTGCTCCAGAAAGGAGCTGCCTGCTCGTTCACTGGACACCCTGTCCTTGGCTGCCCTGGGTACCCTGGCTCAGGCGGGGGCCAGTTATGCATGGGGTGGGGGGACGCATCACCTGGGTGCTGGGGGTGTGACTGCAGGGCGTGGAGGCAGGCCAGGCACAGGGCCCACAGCTCGTACTCCCGGAAGGGCCGGCCCAGCTGCGACAGGAGGTCCTGCAGGGACACGCACTGTGGGCAGGAGAATGGCGAGGTCAGCGTGGACACCCTGCACTGGGGCCTGCTGGGGACAGGCCAGGGTGAGGCCCGCTCAGCCCCTGAGCAGCTCACAGAGGGGCCAGAGAGGTCCCTAAGTCAAGTCCAGCATGTGGGGGCCGTGCGGAGACTGGGGCCCTTGGCCCTGTGGGTGGGAATGTCCCACGTTGCAGCCACTGGAGATGGCAGGGCTGCGGTTCCTCACAAAGCTCAACATGCACCTCCCAGGGGTCAGCAGTTCCTCGCCGGGCACACTTCCGAGGAACCGAGGGCAGGGCTCGTGCCTACGAGCACCCTCCAGTTCATGGCAGGACGACTTGCCCCAGCCACAGCGGGAGCACCCAGGCGTCCACGGACAGACGCAGGACAGCGTGGACGGTGCTGGTGCTCAGCCTCGGGAGGGGGTGCTCTCACGCAGGCCGCCCCAGGGATGAGCCGTGAGGACAGCGGGCTCAGTGAACCAGGCCAGACACAAAGCACCGCCCACCCCACTCCCACGAGGCCCCTGGATGGACCTCATGGAGGTGGAGGGCAGAACGGGGAGAAGGGCTGGGCTGGGGTGTGTGCTTTTGCTGGATGCATTTTCTCATGCACACACACCCTGACGGGCATGCGTTCAGCCTGGAAGGCGCTCTCCACCCCAAGGCCTACTGACAGCTGGACCAAACTCCACCCTCCACCAGGCCCAGCCACCCTGTGCCTCCATGTGCCATCTGGAAGGGAAGCTGCTGTGCGTGGGAAGGCGTGCCACCAGGTAAAGCAGTGGAGGGTGGTAGAGGGTGATGGGCACATGTGCTTAGGATGTGCGGAAAAGCCCAAGTCACAGAATGACCTGCGTTCTTGTCCTTCAGGTCAACAAGGCCTGGAGGGACAGGTGGCTTGCAGGCACTCCGGTCCCTGGGCCAGTGCTGCCTGGCAGACAGACGTGCACTTAGGCTCCCGGATCAGGCACTGCCCGGCAGGTGGACTTGCACCCCGGTCCCTAGGCCAGTATTACCCAGCAGCTGGACTTGCATGCGGCCCCTGGCTTCAGGTGTCCCTGCCCTGAAGAGCTCACAGGGACACAGCTGGGGGTGGCTCAAGGGGGGCAATGCACTTGGCCAGGCTTGGCCCAAGCGTCTTCAGAGGGACAGTGGGGCTGATGGGCTAGGCCCCCCAGAACACTGGCTCCAGCACATCCTCCATGCCTCACGAGGGGCAGCTGACAGGGGCAGCGCTGGGCTGGGGAGGCCCCGTCCTGCACGGCGGCCACGTCCGGGCAGCTGTACCGTATCCCAGCGTCCCTGCAGAGGCAGCGGAGGTGGCCCAGGCACCAACACCTCCTGGTGCCCTTCACCACCACGCCCAGCACATGAGCCAGCCTGACCCCCAGCATTGGTATCTAACTTTTAAAACCATCAGAAGAAGATGATGAGGGAGGCTGTGAGCATCAGGACGGCGAGACAGAGCCCCTGAAAAGGCCTCTTGGAGCCGGGCCTGCTGGCCTTACTTCCCGGAAGAAAATTAACCCTCGGGACGGCCATGCAGGGCTGTGCAAGGTGGCCCGGGCGGGGCTGAGGAGGCGGCTGCCATCTGGGCCGTCCAGAGGCAAACACCCACCTGAGAGGCCATGCTGGGTGACAGCACCCAGCCACAGCCACAGCTTCCTTCAGAAATAGGGCAGCTCAACAAAAATGTCTTCTTATTGAGTGAGAGTGAGGGTTGATTCCCCTCATTAAACAAAGCTGTGTAGAAGCACAGCCTCCGACTCACTGACCACTGACCCCACCCACCCACAAGCAAGGCCTGGGCACCCACCTGCTCCGAGGCTGTGCTTCCTGGCTGCCTGGCGCCTTCTGGAACTCTCTCGTCATCCCTGGGAGTCTGGGCTTCACTGCTCTCATCTCGAGGGTCTGCGGGGCAGGGCGGGGGTCTGGCCTCCGCCGGCCCCTGGCTGGGGTGTGAAGTCTCAGGCTGGCCTGGGCTGCCGGGCACCCCGGGGACCCTGTCCACTCTGCGGGCTGCACAGGGCAACCTGCCCAGCTGGAGTTCCGGCTCCTGCTCTGGCCACAGCCTGCGTGTGGGCTGAGCCTGGAAGCCAGTCAGGCCATTTTTCCCATCCAGAAAGGCCTTCCTGGGGTCCGGAGGGAAGAATTCGGACACGGGCAGCTGGCTTTTCCCGCGGGTCAGCGGCAGGCAGAGGGCGGCCTCGGCGCTGTCGGGCAGCAGCCTGGGGAATGTCCGCACCTTCCGCAGGCGGCTTCTCCTGAGGGCGTCTCTGTCTGGCTCCCCAACAGGGCACTCGGCATCCAGGACGAGGCCGGCCAGCTCCTCCTGGCCATGGCTCTCTCCGTTTCTCATGGGGGAGGACAGCAGAGCCTTGGTTGGGGAAACTCTGGGGCCCTGGCTAGCCTCAGACTCTGGTCCTTCGGGGGTGGGGGGCGGGCACCGGCCCCCAGGGGTAGGCAGAACCACCGGGTCAGTGCCAGGGTCCCCAGGCGGCCTCCTGGGCCCAGCATTTCCTGGGGCATGTCTCTCCCGCCAGCTGCTCTCACTGACATCTGGACACAAGCAAGATGTGGTCACTGCAGGGTGTCCCTCCCCCCCCTTCTTCCCCCCCCCCCCCCCCCCCCCCACCAAGGACCCCAGTGCAGGCTCCTAGGAGAGGCTCCTCTCCCCTCCCCTCCCCCACCAAGGACCCCAGAGCAGGCTCCTAGGAGAGGCTCCTCTCCCCTCCCCTCCCCTCCCTTTTTCTCCCCTCCCCTCCCCCCACCAAGGACTCTCCTAGGAGAGGCTCCCCTCCCCTCCCCTC